TTCAGCAGTGACTGTTGCTCCTGGTAACCATGTAGTGTGATGGAGAGCACAGACAGCAGCTATGTGACCAGGGTCTGTGTTCTTATCTCTTATCCAGAATACCACTTTTAGGAGCGTAAGGTACAGAAACAGAAGCCAGCCTCAATTTGTTGTTTCAGATATCACAAGACTGACCGTCACCGCAGATTTCTCCCATACAGCCCAGTGCTGTTTATTGTTAAGTTCTTCGTCAGTAGGGATGGTTTCTCCAGGCTTCACAAACTTTTCTTCCACCCTCCCCCCCAATTGGGTTATAATGCATTCTGATTAGCACTATCTTTGCTCTTGCCATGATCTATCTATGATTTATTTATCATCAATTAATATCATCATATAATTTCCCTAAGAAAGAACCCCACCCACCACCTGGCACTGTGCCAGAAGACTTGAAGCATGAAACATTTTTATTACAGAACATGTACATTCCTACACTTTATTGATCATTTTCCTTTTTGGATTATTTTTTCTTTATGACAGCTGAGACGTTTTTTATTCTTGCTTTGAATTCTGTTTCTTAGTTGTTTTGAACATGGTTTTGTGTTTGTGTTCATGGGGGCAGTTCAAACATGGTTCACTGGATGAAGACAAAAGGACACCCTGGACAGGTCTCCGTCCATTACAGAGACACGGAACAAACAGGTCATCATTTGGAAACCATCTGAATACTTTAGATGCTCTGATCAGCTGTTGCTATGGCAACAGGTTGTTTAATGTTTACCTGGTATGGTGTTGTCCAGACAAAAAGCCAGAAAACCGCCAACGAACATCTCAGTGGAGAGAAGAACTGTCAGAATCTGGTCCAGTTCTGCAACACCTGAATCAATAAAAAAAATCAGGAGTTTTATTCCATTACTACTTAGAGCAAACCCAGTCTGTGGGCAAACAGAAAGGAGACGTATGTTTGCTTCAGCTATCATTTGGCACCATGGAAGCCTATTCTGTGTGGACAGAGTCACTCTTAGCGGACAGACCTTGGGACAGTTGCACTTAAAGGTTCATAATCACTTTAGAAAAGTAATTGATTCTCTAATCAGTTACTGAGCTTTCACAGTAACTAGTTATCACTAACATTCCATTGGAAAATCTTTTCTTTGTTTCTAGAAAACCTCAAATGATTAAAAATCATTTATTTAAAAATTAAAAATAAGCCTTATACTGTATGTGGGAACGTCCCAGACCCATTAGACAAGGATTTTCAATCATCAGTCAACCGCTAGTTGTCTAAGTGGTGTCCTGAAAATAACAAGAGATGTATTAATAATTGGCTAATTTTGGGGGGAAACCTGGTCTGATTCGGAGACAGCATCCATCCCACTTTGGATGGTGCAGCTCTTCTTTCTAGGAATCTGGCCGAATTTGTTAGTCCTCCAAAACCCTAAAAACCCAGGGTGCAGACCAGGAAGCAGAGTCGTAGAAAACAAAAATAATACTCTACATAACCAGATAAATTAAAAACCTGAAAAAGATAACACTACCAGAGGTGTTTTGTTGTCAGAAACCAAAACAGCTCAGGTGAACAATGACTCACCTGTACTGATGGCATTGGGGTGTGTGTCCAGGTATGTTGGTAGAGTCAGGCCAAAGAACATTGAAAAGCCGAGAACAAAAAGATTTCTGGAAGAGTTTAGATCAACCAGCTGCAGGTTGGACAGACCAACAGCTGTAATCATACCTGAGGACACCAAAACACTTGAGTTAATGTCACGTCATCAATCAACCTGGAGGAGGAACAGAACAAACCCTACTGACCAAACAATGTGCAGAACATTCCTCCAAGAATGGGATCTGGCAGAGAGGCAAATAGAGCAGTGAACTTCCCAACTGATCCCAGGATGAACATGATCCCAGCTCCAAACTGGACCACACGTCTACTGCCCACCTAGACAAAGGGTCAAAGTTCAAACACAGTCACACATCAAGTGAAAAAAAAACACAGACCTATGTGGCTGTGTCTGAACATCCAAAGTAACCCCTCCATCACTATGTAGTGATAGAGGGGCTAGGTTATAGCAAACTCCGTTTACGGACAGATGTTTTCTACTTTTCTCCCTGTTGAGTCTGGCTCCTCCCACACTGCCTGC